TGTCGCCTAATATGCAAAGGAGTTCCTGCTACAAAAACAGCCCTGTGCAGATGTTAAAACACATGTACAAGAGCAGGTAGCTAAGGATGGATTGCAGGTTCCTTGGCCAATGTTAGACTACTAGATGCAGCATCTCAATCAAACGCTTGGTGGAAGAGCTCCGTCTTACAGGCCCTACAGAACTGTAATAAATTTAAAAAGTAACTATAAGATTCTTACACAACATTGATAGGCCTGCACCTTTAACCCAGGCGACAGGAACGACCATCCCTGTTAACGTCATGGCGGAATGCAGATCTGATCCATCTCCCAAACGGAACAGTCTGAGCGGAGGAGCCAAATTAAATATTTCGTTACTTAGCTTCTGAGTCAGCAGCAGCTGAGCATGCCAAACGATTCTGTGCCTGCAAAGTCACTTCAGGCACAGCAGGCTGGTTTTATTATCGCACCCGGTCGGAGGTCAGTAAGCTTCTGCTATGGGAGGCTCAGGTTCACAAAACCTGATTGGAGAGTCCGTGAGCACACGCCCAGTTATCATACCTGGAGCTGCCCGCTCTCACAGGATCATTATCCATGTCTGGACTCCAGAGCTGCCCAAATTCCAGGTAGGCCCCAGAGGTCTCTTGGAAATACAATTGATTTCCAGACTACAGAGACCGCTGCCTCCAGAGAAAACAGCAGCTTTACAGGGCGGACTCTGTTAGGGTTGCCATTCCCCCGCTGGGGGTGGGTGGGGGGTTGCCCGCTTTCAGGGCTCCTGATTTGCCGGCCCAGACCCCGCCCTTAAAGTGCCACATTCAGGCCAACGTGCCCAGCGCCATGACCTCAACTGGAGGTTGTTGTTCAGTCGCATGACGTCACCACGGAAATTGCAGGACTAAACCCTCTTCGGCGCGGGAGGCGGATTGGCCTATCTGGTCAGCAGATTTAAATGCGGGAGGGAACAGCGGCGAAACCCGATCAAAATCCAGGTGGAAAGCAGTGTTCCCTCTAAGCTGAGTTAGTGTGAGCTAGCTCACAGTTTTTAAGCCTCCGGCTCGCACATTTTTGCCTTAACTCAGGAAGGAGGGCTCCAGAGCAGACTAATTTAGGCAGTAGCCAAATTGCTTGCTCACAACTTGAATGCCAGGAGCTCACAGAGGAGAATTTTTGCTCACAAGACTCCGCAGCTTAAAAGGGAACATTGGTGGAAAGTGCATTGAAAGTAGATTATTTAGTGTGTGTGACCGCAGCCGGAGAGAGAGCGAAGCTCAGACGCTTCCTGAAGACTCTTTGCCAACCAGGCAATTAATTGGTACAATCCGTACTCTGGTTCCCTTAATTTTTGCAGCCAGATACCCATCTCACCTTCTCCTTTTATTCCATTACGGGTTCGGTCTGACTGCATTCCAGGGCAGTCTAAACTTCACCTATTAAGCCAGGGAAGCCCTTTTTAGAAAAATGGGAACGTCTCTCCAGGAAGCCGCTCATCATGCAAGAGAATCGCTAGTCGGTGCCTGTTTATCCACTCTGGACGACGGTTGCCGGCACTGGGTTGGGAAATACCTGGAGATTTGGGGAGGGGGGGGCCCTGGGGACGGTGGGGTTTGGGGACGGGAGGAACCTCAACAGGATATAATGCCTTAGAACCCGTTCTCCAAAGCAGCCATTTTCTCCAGGGGAACGGACTTCTGTAGCCTGGAGATCCAGGGGGAGATCACCAGGTGCCGCCTGGAGGTTGGGAAGCCTATTCTGGACCGATCCGGCGCACAGCAACTTGGGGATCCGCTTGCAGTATCACAGGGGGGAGAAGCCGCTGAGAAAACTGGGGAAAGACATCGAGTCATTATCAATGTTCCCTCTAAGCTGTGGAGTCTTGTGAGCAAAAATTCTACTTTGTGAGCTACTGGCATGAAAACTGTGAGCGAGTGAGTTGGCTGCTTCATAAATAGTTTGCTCTGGAGCCATCCCTTCCTGAGCTAAGACAGAAATGTGTGAGCCAGAGGCTAAACTGTGATGAGCTGGCTCACACTAACTCAGCTTAGAGGGAACACTGATAGCTACAGGCCTGTGTACATGAGACAGAGCTCCATTCAGCTTAGCTTTGGACATGGCACTCTACGTTAGCAGAGGTTATTTCCTCCGGTCAAAACAACCTCCTTCGGATAGAAGCTCCTCAGAAGACTGGCTTGCACTGGAGAAGACTCCTTCCTTCTGTTGCAGGAAAGCACCTCTGTTAGAAAAACAGAACCACAAGATTTAACCAGGGCTTTCTTTCTTTTCTTTTTTTAAAGAGGTGCCGGAACTCTCAGGAGGGAAATGAAGTTTTCAATCTGTATGCTGAAAACTCATGAACTTTAAAACGTTTTAAAAAGAATTTTGCCAAAGAGGTTCCGGAACTCCGTTCTGGTGCGTTCCCCCGGGGAAAAGCCCTGGATTTAACCCATTTTGTTTTCAAAAAATGACTGAGCCTGCCTTGCAGCCCATGACCTTTGGATGAGAAGCTATGGCCTAGAAGCACAAAAATGCAAAGATCTCTTGAAGCATTTCGTGTTAAACATCCCAACAAATAGAGGCTCAGGCCCATAGCTACGGTGTGGCATCTCAGGGCTAGGCCTCCCAACTTGCTGGCAAGGCCCCCTGACTTTACATCTAGCCCAGGGTGCCATGGCCTTCTCCCCCAGATTAAATTGATTAGCCAGTGCCCCCTAAGAAATTTAAATGCACCCGACTTAAGAAAAATTCCTGGCTACGGGCCTGTATAGGACTGGATCCAGCAGTAGAGTTCCACGCATAGATTTTGGCCGATTCCCTCCTCCGGCTGCATAGTCACTCCTCATGCTCTTTCTGGGGGAGGGGCCCCTGTTCCCCCCCAGGAGTCGCATTTCAGTGAACTCTTTGAGCTGCAAAAAGACGGGGAAAGCAAGCAAGTTCCCTCCTGTTGATGGCAAGCCCTTCCGTGAGAGTCAGCCCCAGGGCTATTTTTGGGCAGGAACGCACAGGAACGGAGTTCTGGCTGACTCCCGAGTTGGCCATGCTCAGCAGGAACTCATTAGCATAATAGGCCACGCCCAAAAGCAGAAACGCATTAGTATTGGCTACATTAGGGGTGTGTGGCCTAACATGCAAAGGAGTTCCTGTTACGAAAAAGGCCCTGGGTTTTGAACTCAAACACGGTCAACAGAATAAGAAACAAAAGGTGGGCGTGGCTGGATGACCACACTTCTGGTAACATGGGTGTGTGGCCTAATGTGCGAATGAGCTGTGCTGTCAGGGCTGTGGCCTATTATGCTAAGGAGTTTCTGCTCTTGGGTGTGGCCTATTATGCTAATGAGTTCCTGCTGGGCTTTTTCTACCAAAAAAAGCCCTGGTCAGCCCATTGAACAGAACCCCGGGAAAGACAGGCTAAGAGTTGTTCTTTCTCTCTCCTCCCCGTTGTCCAGGTGTTACCAGCTTCATTGTCATCCTAGTGGTCGTGGTGGTCACCCTGGCCGGAGCCGTCAGCCTAAAATTGAGATGTTGCCACTGCAAAGACGTGGAAGGTATTGCACAGCCGTGCGACGACGACAAAGTGGTTTTCGCAACTGCGGTTTTCATAACGTTCTTCATCTCCTTTTCGCCTGTTTCGTGGCCACCTTGTATTATGGCGCCATGTCCCAGGTTCTCAATCCACCATTCGTGGCTGCTTATTTTCTCCGCCTCTCTCTTGCTTCCCTGGGGGACATCAGTTTGCTACTTACCCAGCATCGACAAGTTGACCGTCCTCCTTGCTTCTTACAGGCTTAGAGCAATCCCCTAACTCCTGCTGGGTGTTGTCTGAGAGCTAGCAGAGTGTAAGAGTGTGGCACGAGGAGCAGAGGGAGATCCAGGTCCCAGTCGCCATCCAGCATCCAAAGCTGATCGGAAGCAGTCAGTCTCAGACTATCCTACCCTGTAGGATGATCATGAGGATAAAATGAAAGAAGGAAAGAGCTGTGTCTTCTGCCCTTGAAAGCCCTGGTGGAAGACCAGGATAAAAATGTGATGGAGATTAAAACTCCTGTCCGTTATCACCCAATTCCTCAACGGCCCCCTTGACCTGCCTCCCTCTGTTTTCTGACTCTCCTTCTGTATTCTTTACTTCCCTCCAGGGCTATTTTTGGGCAGGGACGCACAGGGACGGAGTTCCGGCTGGCTCCTGAGTTGTTCTTCCAATCATGACTCTTTTCAAGGAGTTTTGTGAGCAGTAGAGCTAGAATTAGCCACTATTGAATCTGTGCATGTATTGTTGAAAAGAGTCATGATTGGAAGAATAACACCACAAACTGACGTTTGAGAAAGACGCAGGTCGAAATGGACTCTCAAGCCCGGGAAAGTTCGTCCTTGCTTCTGTTTTCTTGAGGACTACGGTCTCTTGATTTGTTGTCTTGTCTAAAGAATTAAAAATAATTACTATTGTTAGTTCAAAACCAAATGAACTTGTGCAGCAATATGTTGTTTTTGTATGTTATCTAATTGCTGGGTCCTGGTTAATTCTGGCTCCTGAGTTGGCCACGCCCAGCAGGAACTCATTAGCATAACAGGCTACACCCAACAGCAGAAACTCATTAGGATTGGCTACTTTAGGGGTGTGTGGCCTAACATGCAAAGGAGTTCCTGCTACAAAAAAGGCCCTGGGTTTTTACCACAAACAAGGTAAACAGAATGAGAAGCAAAAGGTGGGTGTGGCTGGATGACCACACTTCTGGTAACGTGGGGGTGTGGCCTAATATGCTAATGCACTGTACTATCAGGGGTTTGGC